CAACTTTTCAGTCTGGCCTGGCTTTGAACTTTAGTCTTCCATTCAGTCTCCCAGGTAGCTAGGTTTATAGGTGTGAGTACTGGTACCTGGCTTTGCTCATTTTTATGGTTGAATAATATTTTACTAGTTGTATTTGCATATTTTACTAATTCAGTCATCCATTCATTGATATTTGTGTTGTTTCCAGCGAATAACATAATTGTGAATAACAATTGAATTGTGAATAACCTAAGTAAGAACACACACACATATATGTATATATGTTTGAATTATATGTGAGGGAAATTAGTATGTATGTGTGTATGTACTAAAGAAAATAGCGCTTGGCTATTGTAGGTATTATAAACATTGCTTTCTAGTGTGCTTTGACTTTGCCTGTGGTGTTTTTTTTTTCTTTTTTTACCAGATAGAATTATAAATTCTGGCCAGATTATATCTGAATATTGTTATAGAGTTGAATTTGTCAGCCTTTTCTTACTTCTGGGTTTTGTGACATAGAAATACCAACATTATATTGAGGTTATAAAATATTCTCCAGCCAAAGCTTCCACTCACCTACCCGTTTTTCCTTTCAGTATGACAGGAATTAAAAACAGGCCTCATTGCCCCCAGAATGTTACTATGAGGATCAAATAAGATAGGATATGAAAATATTTTTTATAAAGTATATATCTACCTAAATATGACGTGCTGCCTTCTACACTATGAATTGTATCAGATTCTGGCACTAACTAGGTGAAATTTTTTTGTTGCTTTCATTCTGTAAAGCTGAGATTGGGAGGTTAGAATTGTTCACTGAGCAGGCCAAGGATTAGTAGTAATGTGGAGTGGTAGAGGGAAGGTGTTCCTATTTTGCCAGAAAAATAGAATTGCTTTAAATCAAAACCTATCCCAGTCACGTTCCAGTCAAATGGAGCCTTTTTATATTTCTTCTTCTACCAGGAAAAGAAACCAGTTTAGTGAGTTTTGTGTTACTCAACTGTAATGATTTTCATTTAAGCTTCACCAATGGCCATTCGTGACATATTTTTCTTAATTATCATTTGTTTAAATGGAAAACTTCGGATTGAACATTGTATTGGAAACGTGATTATAGAAAGTAAAACATGTTATTGCTTGATGGCAGTTATGACAATTCCTTTGGAAGAGAATAGTGCACTGACTAATTGCTTGGTTCTGATATTGGTCAGAGCTGGGCTTCTTCTACTGGCTGAATATACTCTTGGGAAAATTGCTTTGCACCTCACTTCCATCAGCTTTAAAGCAAGGATGATTATAGTACATGACCCATTGGGTTGTAGGAAGAATTCAGTGATTAAATCTGCATAGAGTGTAAGCTCAATAAAAACAAAACAAAAACAGTATTGGTATAATTCAGAAATATATAAAAGAATTCAGGAAATGAGGCCAAAGGAAGTGAAATACACCTTTGCAGGGATATTTTTATCCTTGGGGGTTGGCACAGATCAAATCACATGGTAGAAGTCCTCCCTGATGCATACCACAATTATTTGGGTCCCAGCCTTGGTCATTGGCTCAGTGTGTTTTGGCCTCAAAATAAAAAAAAAAGAAAAGAAAAAAAATGACACTTGTGGGACTTTTGTTGTATGCCAGGTTCTTTTAACTCCTGGGTACATCCTGTTCAATGGATGAGATCATTATCATTTGATGGATGAGGAAACGGAGGCTCAGACAATGTAAGGAACCACCCAGGGCCACTCATAGCTGGGATATGGCGGAGCAAATCACTGTTTCTGCTTCTCAGAAATCTAGCTGTTTCTGCCATTTAGTGCATAGTTCTATGCCACATACTTCTTCAGCTTCACAGAGTTTTTCCTGACATCTCCATGGCTCAGTGCAGTGTGTGTGAGTCTTCTAGATGTGTGTGTGTGTATTTAAATTTAACATCATGGCAAAGAGAGCTGACATTTAATGAGAGTTCCTTCCACAAGTGGGCATACAAGATTAAATCACTTTCTGAAGTCATTATGGGCTGGAAGCTCCTATAGGAGAGTTAAGAAGGAATCCAATTTTTTGCATTCCAGAGCCCACTGCAGTGACTCCTGTTTTGTTTTTTGTTTTTTTTCCTCTTTGAGAATCTAGGTTTGAGGCAGATAGTACATTTGAGAATCTAAGTCAATCTCAGATCTTATCTTTCTCTCCTGGCACTTGTGGCTTTTGCATAGAAGGCCTGAATATACAGAAAATGGTGAGGCCAGGAGGATGTGGGCTGTAGTGTCTATTAATGGACTTTGTGACCTTCTATTTCTGGGCACAAAGCTATAATAAGCCTCATGATTCACCAGTAGGACTTCTGCTCTAAGCCCATCCTGTGCTTTCCCACCTGTGGGCCTTGGCTCCTGCTGATCACTTAGTGGGAAAACCCTGTTCCACCTCACCCTGGTCACCTGGCCACTCTAAGGACATCCATTACAGCCAGTTTCCTCTGGAAGCCCCTGAGGACTGATAACCTATTTCCTTCTGAGCCCAAATCAAATCATCTGTGACATACCAAGAGAAAGGTAAGTGGAAGACTAAACCTATTTTGCGAATTTGGTAAATATTCCTTTTGGGGTTCACTGTGCCTATGACAATGTTACCATCTGAAATTCAGTGATCAGAGACCCTATATGGTGAGCACTATTTTTTTCCCGCCTCAAAGCTAATACTTCCTGCACATGAAATGGTTTGCTCTCTCTCATAGAATTAGACTTGGAATATTTCTTTTTTTTTTTTTTTTTGGGTCCAGTCGTGGGGCCTGAACTCTGGGCCTGGGTGCTGTCCCTCAGCTCTTCAGCTCAAGGCTAGCGCTCTACCACTTGAGCCACAGTGCCACTTCCGGCTTTTTTCTTTTTGCTTATGTGGTGCTGAAGAATTGAACCCAGGGCCTCATGCATGCAAGGCAAGCGCTCTACCATTGAGCCACCTTCCCAGCCCAGACTTGGAATATTTCTATGGGAAGAGTCTGCTGTCAGACAGTCTGGGTGGGCATGTTGGTGACCTGAGGTAAGTCATTTTCCCATATTGAAGTCTCCTCTCCCATTTGTGAAAGGACACTGTGTCTAACTTGTACCTTAGCATTTGGAGGTAGTCATAAGAGCTACAGGTACAGAGGGCTGTGCTAAAGTTGGTTTTACATCCTTACTCACTTTCCCCAAGAACTCCCCTCATTTTTAAAAAATTGCATATGTATTTTAATCTCTCAGATGCCAAAATGTACTATAGGAACATTTTTGGAGGACAAAGAGAGAAATGATAAATGTAAGGAACTCAGAAAACTTCATATAAAAACACTACAAATAACCTAATTTAGGACATATACTTAAGTTTAAGAGGTCAGTGTCCTTTTCCTCCCCTCATTCTTTATTTATTTTATTTTTATTTTTTTATTTTTTTTGTTGGTCGTGGGGCTTGAACTCTGGGCCTGGGTGCTGTCCCTCAGCTCTTCAGCTCAAGGCCGGCGCTCTACCACTTGAGCTACAGCGCCACTTCTGGTTTTCTGGTGGTTTATTGGAGATAGGAGTCTCACAGTCTCTCCTGCCCAGGCTGGCTTTGAACCGCGATCCTCAGATCTCAGCCTCCTGAGTAGCTAGGATTACAGGCGTGAGCCACCAGCGGCCCCTCATTCTTTTTCTTTCCTTTTTTTTTTTTTTTGTCAGTTGGTCATGGGGATTGAACTTGGGGGATTGCTGTCCCTAAAGCTCTTTTGCTCAAGGCTAGTGCTCTACCACTTTGAGTCACAAGGCCACTTCCAGTTTTCTGGTGGTTAGCTGGAGATGAGTCTTGCCCCAGCTTGCAATCCTCGATCCTTGGATCTCAGTCTCCTGAGTAGCTATGATTACAGGTGTGAGCCACCAGCATCTGGCTTCCTCCCTTCATTCTCCCCCGCCCCTCCACAGACATAAACTGTTTATTGAGATTGATCAGCAAGGGGCACAGCTTTCCCGTGGGCTTAGAGACTGTGCTAAGAACTGGGACAGGACTTGAGGTTTTATGTTTCTCTTCAGATCGCAAAAATCGTTCGCCTTTTACCTCCTCTCATTCTTGATGTCTCCTATTCTCTAATCTTTTTTTCTCTCCACAGTATTTCCATTTTCTACCATATTATATAATTTATCGTTTAGTTTCTGTCTTGTCTTCTCCCACAGGGCCTCCAGCAGGAGGCCCCATTCAACTCCAGTAGATCCCACTGAGGATGCATTCTGCTCAGGGCATACTTTCACCAAGAATGTTAGTCTTAATGGTGGTTACTTCTCCAGAATTGTGTGATTGGGGAATGCAAGGCAGGAACTACAGAAGGACAGGGTTTTGGTGGTTGTGGTTGTTGTTGTTTTTGGTTGATTTTGAGGATTGCTGTGTCTCTGTGACTAGAACAATACTGGACTTATCCTAAGCTTTAAGCAAATATTTGTTGAAAGAATGAATGAAAGAGCTACCAAAAGAGATCCCATTTTACTGGTGAAGAAACTAGGCTGAGTGAGTTAGACATTTGCACAAAGCTTCATGAGACACTGACACAGCTGTTTGTGACTGCACCCCTGCTCTCAATGGCTTTTGCAAAGCTAAGTGTTGCAAACTCCTGGCTTTGTTCCCTATCCAATACTTGTTTAAAAAATATTAATGCCCTTCCCTACATGGCTCAGGCCCTCTGTTAGATTCTTAGGTGGAGTGATAAACTGTCATGTAGCTGTTGACTTGAAAGACTGAATTAAATTGCACAAAAGGAGAATGTGTAATTTTTGTTAGAAAAAAAAAAATCCCTAGCTCAACTGCCAATAGCTGGGGTGTGTGGGAGCCTCCCAGGCTTTCTCAACCTGATTTTTTCCCCCTGCAGCCTTCCCTTTTGTGAGCTTTTCTTCCCCTTTTTGCTTGCAGTGAATTCTGCTCTCCTGTAGGCTACAATGTGTCAGTTGTTATAAAATCCGGGAGGCGGAGTCTAGTGACGAGCTCGGTGGGGGAGAGATCCGCCAGCCCTGCAGGGTGAGAGCAGCACCGGGCTCACGCGAGCTCAAGCACTGCCCCAGGAAAACTTGATCTCGATCTCCTGGCTTTGATCCTCAGTGGACAGCAGACCAGAGGCACGGAAGAGAGGGAGGATGCGAGATGACTGGCCCTCTGGCAACCTGACCATCTCCTTAGCAGAGCCTTCCAAAGCAAGCTGGGGGCTGGCTGCACAACCCAGGAGGCGCCGCGCCTCTCGCCTCTCCTGGATGTGTGTGTGTGAGTGAAAGAGCCGGGTGTGGATGTGGGTGAGTGAGGGTATGTGTGCATGTGTGTGTGTGACTCTCATACACATCACGACTGTGTGTGTCTAGATGAGTGTGCATGTGCACGGGTGAGTGTGTGTGTGTGAGTGTGGGTGGTGTGTGGGTGTGTGTGTGATCCTGGCAATTATTATTCTTTTTGGGAGAAAAATCTTGGAAATCTGGGGCAGTTTACTGTGCTCCTGAGGCGATTGTCTTTTTCAAGAGCTGACCAGTGCAAGCCATTTAGAGCCATTTTCTTGGAAGTAAAAAGCATTTTCCTCCCTGAAGAAGGATTTTTTACTCCTGCTCTGCAGTCAAGTAAGAGAGATTAGTCCCTAAGCCTGTGAAATTGACCAGCACCGTGTGATTACCAGGGCTCCAGAAGGGACTCAAAAGGAAAAGAAAAGAAACCAAGCAAACTGTCAGTTCCTTTGGCCACACCAGAAGATGTCATCTCAAACTAAGTTCAAGAAAGACAAAGAGATCATTGCTGAATATGAAGCCCAAATAAAAGGTGAGATACCCGCTGAGGGACTTTGCCTTTCCTTTCCTTTCCTTTCTGTTTTCCCTTGCTCTGGCTTTTCTCCCTTTTCCTCCCTGCCATCACAAGATGTTGCTATGCATCAATAATCTTATTGTGAGGAGGAACAGTGGCTGCCACACAAGTCCAGGCTGGTTTCCACTGCAGATAGCGCCGGGGCTGGAAGTGTGGATTCTGGAGAGGGCAGCAATCTCTGCATTGCAGGTGTGCGAGGAGGATCCTACGCCTGACTTTAGGAGTGTCGCCGGTACTCCATCATCTTGGCAGTGATATGTCACTCTAGGCCATTTTGACAGTCACAGCCTCTCCTCTTCCCTAGCATGGTAAAAGGCCCTGAATATTGATGCCTTTCTCCCCCCCCCCCCCCCCCCCCACTATGATCTACTCCTCCTGTCCTCCTTTTGGCTTTGTTGTTGTGATGGTTTTGCCTCTCTCCCTTTCTCTGGGCAGGAATTCACATGCATGTGTTCAGGGAGGCAGCATCCCTGGGCAGCCCTTCTTTGTTGGTGTCTCTCGCCTGGCCTGGGTTGCCATGGATTAACTGTTATGAAGCATATTGATCCAGACTAATGCAGGCATTTAGGCATAAAGAGAGAGCTCAGTGCAGAAAATGTATTATCGTGCATTTGCAGCCCAATCCTTCTGTGCACTAGTGTTTAGGGTCATTAGTGTTGGTTCAAAGCCAACACCTTTGCATGCATTTAGGCTGTTGGGCACTGCTTGGCTTTCGTGGCTTCCAGGGAAAGCTGGCCAGGAGAGTGAGATGACCTCGGGCTGCTGCTTCCAGCTTTGGTGCCATCAAATGCACACTTCTTTCAGAAGCCGCTCCCTAAATCCACGCTAGCTGGAAGTAATGGGGAAAGGGACACACTACATAGCTAAGCCCAGGTCAGATCTGGGCTTCTTCCATTCTCAGGAGTTTTAAGCTCAGTTTTGACAAGAAAAAAAATCTCCAATCTTTGTGCACCGTGTTCCTTCTTCCCGGAGGCTGCACCCTAAGAGAAGCTGGGCACGTGGTGCTTGGCATCTGTGTTCTTTCTGGTCATGGTTCTCTGTGCTGCGACACAGGACAGCAGTGTTGCGGTCTCTTACAGACAGAGCAAAGACAAAACACAGCTTCCATGGATGTGGAGGCCTGTCTTGGAGCTTTCATAGGGTCTGTCAAACAAGTTGATTTGGGGGTCTCGTGAGACCTGTGGTTGCCACACCTACTTCTAGAGCTGCTGTGGCTGAAGATTCCATATTCTGGGAAGTCAGGGCGCCTTGGGAGTGTAGATTCTGGAGGCTACAACCTCAACTGCTGTCCTAGCCTCAGATGCTGCAGCAGCTTTGGAGGGGAGGGGACAGTCACCAGGGGAGGGCTTTGTATTTACCACTGTCTTCCAAGTCCTTTTTCTTTTACTCTTGGTCAAACCTAGCATGCTAATCACCTCTGAGCAGAGTCCAGGGTAAAAGAAGTAGAGTCTCCTCTTCCTAGGTCACGGCCTCCTTAATTTTCAGTTCAATGTCAAAAACTGTGATTTAGGAAGTTTGAGCCTTGATGACAATTTAGAACAAGTGGTCAGAGATTCGAATTTACCTGTCTGCTTGGTACAAAAGCCCATTTCCATCTTTGAATATACAGACATTTAACCCAAAAGTAGTACATACTTTTTAGGGAGTTCATGTTTTGTAAGACTAACTTAGCTGTTCCTTTTTTTTTTTCTGAAGATCAAGGTCCATGTGAAAAATTATATGATAGAGAAGGTGATGTTGAATTTTGGATAGTTTGGGTATAAGCACATTGTCTTGTAGCAAATGTGCTTATCTCATTTTTAAAAAATGGCTACTACTAGGCCGGTCAATGAGGACCAGTTAGGCATTGATTTGTTTGGCTGATTCTTTTTTACCTTTCACCTTTATTTTACCAACTAATCACCAAGTACTAGGTAATGAATTTTATCTGTAAAGTTGTCCAAATGATCTTATCTGCTACACTTTGAATTCCTCTGCACTCTGGTTGAAGGAGTGTAATTATATTCCTTTAGAATTGACACTGAATAATACTGCTGCATTAGCTGAAGCCCATTGAAATCTTTCCCTTCATAATTCTATTTGTTGCCCTGGGGTGTAACTCATCAATAGAACACTTTCCTGGTGTGCAAGGCCCTGGGTTCCAGCCCTAGCCTCACCAATATAAATAAATACATATATATTTAAAATATATATTATATATCTCTCTATATATTTGTTAATCACTACCATCATTAATGTGTCTAGGCTAATCTGTTTCTACAGCTTATTCCCAAACAGGGACCAGGAGAGTTGGTACAAGCTCAGTGTCAGAGATGGGAAATAGAGGTTCAGCACTGTTCAGTGACTTGCCCAAGGTCACAAGGCCGGGCTTCTCCCAGGCCTGGTGCTCCCTGCTGCATTGTTTGCCAGAAGCTGCCCCTTGATGGATTGATGTCAGGAGCAGATGGCAGTCTTGTGGGGGAGACTGGCCAGTTCTCCTCCAGGCTCCATTGTTCCCCTCTCACTTTCATTCCATTGCCTTTGTCGCTTGCCTCTGAGGAATGTTTGACCAGTGACCAAAAGGAATGCTGGATGTAGTTACCTTTCTCCATGGTAGCATTTGACTGGCTTGGTGCATAAGAACCTACTGTATTAGGCAGATTTTACACTCTGTGAATTTTGCAAAGGGAATGTGTGATTTTCAGAAATGGTGCTGACTTATTCCCTCTTCTTTCTGAAGCATTAGTGATTAACAAAGGAGAATGTTTTTAAACAGTATATTTTGTTTATATATTTAGACTTCTCTTGACTCATGAGAAACTTGGATCACTTTGATTATATACTTGAAATGTCATAGTAAACCATACACTTATATATTTCCAGTGATAGAGAACTTAGTATGTCCCATGCTTATGTGTACTATCTTTGGACAGCTCTAGCTCACAGGTCGCATAGATCTCTGCCTATTGGTTATATAGTTCCTTCCCCTTGGGACTTAGAACAAGACAGGTGCCTTTTCCCTGTGACTACTCATTGACTTTTTGGAGCCTCTTGAGTACAGCTACTGCCATTAATGTCATTTACATAAGATGGCTCACTGCCACTCACCACCTTCATTTCTTCTTTGGATCTTCTATGTATTGGGTTACAGAGCTCTACGTCTTGGGTGCCTGGAAGAAAGAATGAATGAATGAAGTTGACCATGTTGACAGTTGGCTATTTTCTGAGAGCCATAGAAGAAAGGGTGGTGATGATGATAGTGGGCCAGTCATTATCCACTGGAATATAGGTTCAACTACATCATTCAATTTAAAAAAACAACAACAATAAAAGATACTAGTTGTCTGGGTGAAAGCTTTATGGGTTTTTTTTTTAAAGAGTTTGCCAAAAGGACATTTTCCTATCAATATCCAGTAAATCAATACCTAGTAAATCAATATCAGTATCAATACCTGTCTACAAGTTAGGCACTAAGTTCTAAATGTGATTTTCTAGATGCACTCAAAGAAAGAAAACAACTATCGCCATCTTTATACTGTCTGTAATACTTCTGTTAATATAGTCCTCGGGTTGAATTAGCCCTTTTGCTTCTCATTGCATGTACTATGTATATTCTGTCTGCTATATTTCCTCTAATTTGCGAGTCTGAGTCTCATCAGAAAGAAGGAAGTGAAATGGATTTACTCTGACTTGCTCTTGGTGACACTGTCCTGGCTCCAAATGAACATTGCTTCCTCTCCTAGGTGCTTGTACTGTTCCTATCCAAATCTGTTCAGGAGCCTTGCCTGAGAGTGACATCACATTCTCTAGTCTGGAGCTGGCAGGCTATAACTTTTTTCTCTTTGGAAAAATCAGAACAATATTTGCATATCTTGAAATTTTTGGCATCTGTTCCACTCCCCACAATTCCCTCAAAGATCACTGATAGTGTTTGGTGCTCTTATTTTCAGGCATTTGCAGTTTCCTGGGCTCTAATTGATCTTGTTGCCAGACACAGTGGTCTGCTTTGCATTTATTCAGAGTTACTACTTCCATTTCAACCTCACAGAAAATTGCAATAGAAGTGCAGTGATGGTGGACTGGAGGGCCTTATTATTTATTTTATGTTCATATTCATTTAAGGCCATCTTTTTAATAGCAGAAGTCTAGATTTGGGGGTAAGAAGAGCAGGTATTAAAGTATTACAGAGTTATATGTATGCATTCTTTGTTTATGCATTCTTTTAGCAATCATTGGTTATCTACTTTGTACTTTGTTTTGTACTGAGTGTTGTGGGAGACACAAAGTATATGACATATCCTTCTGAGAATGTCTTTGGAATATTGTAATAAAATATGAGAAGAAAATAAAAAAGGCGAAAACATAGAAAATTCATTCTGAGCACCAAAATGAGTTTAGTCTATTTTGTTCTTTCCTGTTCTGGTTTTTGGCTTTTTTTTTCTTTCCTTTTTTAAGACAGGGTCTGGCTATCTAGCTCAGGCTGGCTTGGAAATAACTATGTAGTCCAGGCAGGCCTCAAACTTAAGATCTTTTTGGTCTCCATCTCCTAAGGGCTGGGATTACAGGCAAGTACTACCATGCCCAACTTGAGCTTCGTCTTTAATTGTGCATACACACAGGAACGGAAGAACCTTCTTAGGAATGGCCCTGGATTTCAGCAGGATTAAAGCCGGAAAACAGGCCAGAGTGAGGAATAGTGGGAGTGACAGAGACTGTGGTCAGCTGAGTAATTTATCAGGAGGGGAAGCCTCCACTCTGTTCCGACTTATCTTTGTGAGGCAGGAATATGAGCCTAGAATGGTCAGTTGTTTCATTGTGTTAAGGGAATTTAAAATTTTAAGTTTTCTGATGCAAACACACACATGTACATGCACACAATATATAATAGAAGTATATATATATATACATACACATGTGTGTATACATACACATTCATGTATACATAAACACAACACATATATATGTGTTAAATAATTTAG